CCCCAAAACCCCAAAACCCCAAAACCCCAAAACCCCTCAAAATCTAACTTGTATTGAAGATTCCCGCAAAAAAACCTTTGCCGGTATATTAATTTAACTTTTATAAAATTTAAAATGGCTGATCTACCAACCGCTGTCACACAGGCAAGCGTTTCTGGAAATGGAAGTTTTTGATTCTACAAGGACCAAATAGTTGTGGTCTCAGAGGAAGGATATATTAAGAAGTTCGATATTGACAAGACCTCTGGAGAACTCAAGATTGATACAACAGTTCCTATATCACAAAAAGTCACTGAAATTGTATCAAACACTAAAGACAACATTGTGTATTCAGGCAAGGATAAGGCTGTTAATATGGTGTTTAAGGAGAAATTTGATAAAGCTACTAAGATCACGAACCCTTCTGAGCCAGTGCATAAGCTTATTTACCCAAACAAGAAGATTGTATTGATATGCTCTGAAGCAAACCATATGGATATTTATTGGATAGAGAAAGAAAAGATCACTAAAATGATCCCAGAGCATGACAAGCCAATTCTAAATGGCGATGTAGACCCAGGGTCAGAATATATTGCAACAACTGGCTGTGACGGAACCTTGAATATTTGCAAACTTGACTTTGATCCAAACAAACTTGAGCTTGTTTATAGTAGCGAAATTAGTGAAAGAGTTGAGTTATACTCAGAACAAAAGCTCCAGGTTAAATTTTCTCCTGATGGCAAAAACCTTGCTATTGCTGGAAGTAAAGAGCTTAGAATTGCTGAAAGAAATGCATTTGAAGACATCAAATCGGTTCCTGAAATCGCTCACGATGATCCAATCTCCCAAGTTTGCTGGGTAAATTCAAATATCCTGATTACTGCTGATACTCAGAATGTAGTTAAAGTTTGGAACTTTGACACTAAGAAAGAAGTGTTCAAGTTTACTAATCCAAATGATCTTGTTTGAATGGAGTATTCTCAAACTAATAATTGCTTCGCTCTCTTTGATACTGAAGGATGCTTAGTAGTGAGCACTCAAGACTTTCCTTCTCATAAAGACCTTCAGCCAGTAGAAAAAGAAGAGAAAGACGATCTTCCACAGAGCAAAGGTCAGGATCAGAAGGAAGATGCCGAGATGGAGCCAGAGAAGCCGGAGGAATCAAAATTTGCTGGAAACTATGAGCTTGATAATGATTATCCTCAAGAATATAACAACACTGTGAATGACTTTATTGGAGCCAGACCTCAAGTTTCAATCATGCCAGGAAATGTGACTGAGGATGATCAACTTGAATACAGATTCTTATGTTGGAATCAAGTAGGAAGTGTTGCTTCAAGAGGAGAAATGAATTCAAAATATATTGAAGTTGAGTTTGCAGATAAAACTTTCCATAAAACAATTATTACTGAAGATGAAATTGAGACAGAAATGGCAACTCTTAGTCATAACGGTGCTTTCCTCGCTTCCAAAGCTGAAGAAGTTGATCTAGATCAATATGAAGATGATACTAATGGTCAAAAATATATTTCTCAATTGAAGTTTATTCCCTTCACTTCTTGGAACTCCATTAAGCCATGGGGACTCGATCTTCCTAAAGGAGAAAATACTGAAGGAGTAGCTCTTGGTTCAACCTTCTGAGCTGTGTCAACTGATTCTAACTATGTTAGATTCTTCTCTCTTGAAGGAGTGCAAACATTCATGATGTCTTGCTTCCATTCTGTTGTATGCATGGCTGCTTACGAAAATCTTCTTTGCGTTGTTTCTCATAATGGCCTTCCAATGCTTGAAGCTCAAAATTTGAAATTAAAGATTATTGATACGACAAAGAATTATGCTTGTATTGTAGAGACTGAAGTACCAGTCACTCCAGGAGCAACTCTCCAGTGGATGAACTTCAGTGAGGAAGGAAGTCTCTATACTTATGATACAGATGGCATTATGAGAAATCTCAGCTTCTCACATGGAAACAATTGGATTCCAGTTCTTGATGTTAAGCAAAGATACGATATTGAACCATCAAAGTTCTGGATTATTGGCATTAGTGAAGGAGAGATCTCTTGCTGTGTATTAAGAGCAAGAACTTATCCAACACCTATTGATAAGAGTCACATTCAATCATTTAAGCTCTGCATTCCTCTTTTAGGACTAGATACTACAGGAAAAGCTGAAATAAAGAGAGAAAATACAGCTGATAATGAGGAGAAGTTTATTAGAGAATCTATCGAACTGACTCATCAGCAATGGAGGCGCCATCAATGGTCTAGCCTAAGAAATTCAAGAACTCAGAAGAATCCTAGTTACAATCAGTCAAAGTCGATCTTCACTGACATTGAGATGACACAGAGTAAAAAGGCTTTGGATAAGATAATTATCAACAGTATCAGAATTGCTGCTCACAATGATGACAAAGCTAAGATTCTCAGTCTGGCAAGAAAGCTCCATCTAGTCAAATCCTACTCTCTCTGTATCACCTTGCTTCATGAAATGAAATTGCCATTTGTCGCAGATGAACTTCAAAAGGTAATGGAGAAAAAGGAAATGGAAGAGCAAAATGAAAGAGAAAGACAGATCTCCTCCTCACAGAACTCAAGAGAGAAACAAGTCAACAAGGCATCATCCCTTAGTGAGAAGATCATGCAAGCAAGAATGAATAACATGGAAAAGAACTCAAAGACTGAAAATGCCAAGAAAGAAAATCCTATTTTGGCAAGAAGTATGATGAAAAAGGAAGCAAATGAATCAGGTGTCAACAAATCAGTCCCAAATAATCCTTTTGCAAACAAGGAGAATAAGAAAGTACATAACAAGAACTTCTTGAATGACTTGCTAGGCCAGAAGGTTGAGAAGAAAGTATCAAATCTTGAGAAGCCAAAGAATGCTAAGCAGAAGTTGTAAATCTTTAAAAGTAAATCTAACGCCAAAAAATTCAATTTTAGAATAATTATAAGGGGTTTTGGGGTTTTGGGGTTTTGGGGTTTTGGGGTTTTGGGG